ATCGCATTCTAAGTAACATATTTTGGAATCTTCTCTTCTAAGATTTCTTATCGAGAGTGGCTATCAATGAATGACGAGATATATCTATAACCTTTCGGATGAGCTGTCGGCGTGATATATCCCATTAAATCCGCGTGTATTCGTAACAAAGGTTTATCTTCGCGATGTCTTACATTCTTAAATGGAAGTTTCTTGAGTTTAGTTTGTATACACGTTTCGCATTCTTTAATGCTTTCGTCAATTTCGTTTTCTTTTAAATTTTTAATCTCGGGGTATTCTAATTTTAGTTTTCGAATATATTCGCTCGACGCGTGTCCTAATCTCATATGCCATATTTTCGCTGTACTAATTCTATCTAATTTTGCAAATTCGTCTAGTTCAGTATATATATTCGTTATATCTCCTTCTTCAGTTAGGTTTTCTATTTGTCTGTCTCGAACCGTACTCAACAGATCTTTAGTTTCACTTACTCTAATCGTCGGTTTTTCAACCTTTTCTTTTATTTGTTTGTCCGATTTTTCTTTAGTCGTGTTTAATTTACTTCTTGTTACTACGTTTGCGTGCACGTCTGTTTTAATTCGTTTACCCTCGATCGCTTTTAAATTCTTATTTTGAGATCCGATTTTAATAATCCAAAAAGGTCGTTTATATTTACCTGACAAAAACGTTTGTTCGGTTTTAGGGTCGTATACATCGATTATTTTTCCATCTAGATATACACTTAATCCTCGATCCACGAATTTTCTTAATAATATTAGATTTTTGGCTAGATCTTTCGCGTATATTACATTTTTTAATTTAACGGGTTTTCCTTCGTTATTAAATCCTTCGATTATTCCTTTTCCGTTATATTTTAACCTAGCGTTTGGTGATTTATTCGCGCAATAAATAAAACCTGTTTTATCTCTATCGAGGGTGACGAAGCTTAGTCAGTTATTATTCATGTGATCTGACGCTCCCGTATCCGCGATGTATTTGTCCGCGGTTTGATTTTGATCAATTTCGTCTTCGCTATCGCTTCGTTCTGTCTCCGAGTTTTCGCTTTGCTTTTCGCCTTCGTTATCCGCGAAATTACAACGCGATTTGTTTTTATTGAATTTTCGGAATTTACCTTTTTCAGGCTGGTACCTTGACCTATCCTTGCTGTACTGCTTCAAACTGTCGCCTCTTCTTTCGTTGTAACGAGTTGTGGTATCGTTCCTTAGCCTCTTAACCGACGTATTACGTCTTTCGTCATCGTAACTTCGTTTCCTTTTCTCTCGTCTGCATTCTTCAGCTTTATGTGTGCCAATTAGGTTACAATTGTAGCACTTGAATTTGCCCGGATTAGGGCACTTGTCTTTGGTGTGCCCATCGTCTCCGCATCCGTAGCAGATTTCCTTCTCTTTATTTGTTCGTTTCGTCATTGCATGATTTGCATTTGAAGCTTGCACAATTTGTACAGGTCCTACCTGTAATAAGATTCGTTTTAGTTCCATGTATGTCAATTTAGTTCCTTTTGTCATTTCGGTTATACAATCGGCTGTTGCTATAGACGGTATATGTTTCTTTACCGCTTGAAATATCAAATTCTTTTTGTCTCTATTCGCGTATTCTCCTATATTAGACTGGTTTTCGTATTGTTTCACATAATCTTCGAATCGCGAGCAAAATTGAACTATATTTTCTCTGTTCGGATTAAATTTAATATTTATCAATCGTCTATATGTGTCGTGTTCAGTCATACCTGTTTCCGACACTTTAACTTGTTTAATTTCATTTAGTAATTCTCTTGGGTTATCATGTTTTGTCCCGATATCTACATATTCTTTACCTAAATGATTGAGTATTATATCAAGAACTCTAACCTCGTCGTCTTTATATTTACCTGGATTCGTATTATTACGTACAGTTTCATCACTATCTATGACATAAAAAATTTTCCGCGTTTTCAGTTCGGTATATAATAATTTCTCAAACATGTCGTATCTCGTTTCTTTGGTCACACTGTACTTTCTATTAGATCCCGAGTCTGCGTTTGTTACTTCTACGCTCATCCTGCTATAATCTATCGACTCATTTCGCGTATCTAACTTACTTATTCTATCAATAACATTGTTGCTAATTTTCTCGGTAATTAATCTTGTCAATTCGTCTACATTTTTACATACGTATGTGTTGTCTTCCCTTTTATCATTCGTTTGACTACTTATTAGATCAGACGTGTTTACCTGAGCATTTCGATCAGCTCTATCATCGCTGTCTCTCGCTGATCAACGTGCTGTGTGCCAGTGGTGTCGATTTCAGCAACTGACTGCTAGTTGTTCCCGTTTCTCTCGTTCGTGCTGATACTGGTTCATTTTCTCGCCTTTCGTCAACCACCTGCACTTCTTGCACGTCTTGATTCCCAGCCTTCTGTTGCTCGTTAGTCGTCTGACCTATTATTGCAGAGAGTAATGTGTCGAGCTTGTCGCACAGTGTCTTGACAACCGCTGTGTTCTCTTGTATAGCTTGTCGTTCTTGCCTAGAACTTTCAGCTATCTCGTCAAGTTTGTGCCTCAGGCTCGCCAAGTCCCTCGTTGCTGCGTCTGTTTTATTCCTTACAAGGATTCGTTTGGGCTCCTTCATACCTTCAAGTTTCCCAATCAGCCATCCAGTCTCGATGGGATCCAGTACGTTGTTGTCTGTAAAAATTCGTTTTTCGTTACTAAAGGTTTGATGCTACTAGGCAGCGCCACAGTACAACTTGTAGATGCCTGTAACGAGTGTCCACTCCTGTAACCAGTACAACTTGATTACATTTGTTTTCACCCTTAGGACACTGAGTGTGTATTGTGTCACGCACAGCTGTGGCACCATACTCAGTGAACCCTTTAGAAGAGTGAACTCTCATCGTTTAGAAAGTTACTCTTTGACCGGTCATGTTATTATTTTTACTATGTAAAAACAATAACTCGTATGAATATTCCTTTGGCTAGGAATATTCCTTCGTTCGTTCGTTTTATATTTATATAAATTTCTTTTCTTACCTATCACGAGTATTTCCTTATTCGTGAATGACAGTACTAGTCCTATCTTCGTTGGGTTCGTAATAATGTACACTCCTTCGCCTGGATGTATCCTCGTTTCGTTCAGCAATCGTTCAATTTTTTCTTTAATGCCCTCCATCATCTGCATTGATGAGTTCATGTTGCTGTTTCTTTGATCTTCTGTCATTCTTGACTTTTTCTTTCCTTTTTCTTTCGTAGTCTAATCGTTCTTTGTCCTTTCGTATTTTTCTTTCTCGTGTTCGTTCTTCGTCCTCTCTCCGCTCGTTCGTCAAAACTTCTTTTCACTTTTCACTTTTTCACTTTTAACACTCGCGCAGTGGAAGCATGCTGGGCCCATAACCTGTTGAATACAAGGATAGGTCAATGAATAAAAGTCAGATGTTTAATCGTAATCTCCGTCGAGTGTTAATCATTTATTGAAAAAGGAAAAGATGATCGTTGTAATCGTAAAAGAAAGAAAGTCACTCGACTAGCTAAGGCGTTGATGTATCTCGAGCGGCAGGAGAGAACTGAACGCCTCCGTCGGCGTGCTTGCCGCGAAGCACCGTAGAAGGGAGAAGGGAAAGATAGGCTGGACAGTGCCTTGCGCCGAGAAAAAAAAAATGCGCCACCTTGCTGCTAACAAAAATAGTGAACGATACTCGGCCGCTAAGTGACATTAAGTGTCACTTATCGCCCTTGTATCGTTAATTACTATAATCTTCTGTTCCAAATATTTAACGCGTTCCAATGTTTCACCGTTTGCGGAAGCCATATTGAAAGTTAAACTTGAACTTGAATAAACGCGTAAGAAAAGTCCAAGCTCTATTCTTATAGAATGAGATAAGCGAGGACCATCAATTTAAATGACGCTATATTACTCTAAATTTAATAAAATAAACAAAACGAACAAATAATTAAAAGTACAACAATAAATTTACGTTTAAATCAACAAACTCGCATAAATAACTATCATGGAATGAATCAAGGAAAATGGAATAAGTAAAGAATCAAAATTTTAATGTTAATCGATCGCAAATTTTTTTTTATTACGATTATAGTAGTTTTTATTAGCAGGAACTTTATACAGTATAGGGCCACTATGCCAGTACAGTAGCGCCAATTCGTGGCGCGAAAAAATGAATGTACAAAGGTAGAGTTACAAAAATGGTTGTTTAAAATTAGCTTAAAATTATGTACAATGATATATTAGGTAGTTATTATTAAAATTAGGGAGCATTATATATTGATTTTAATTTCTATAATAAAATCTGATAGTATATGAATTACATCTGGTTCCATGCATGAGAGAAAAGAAACCATAGAAAAAGGTCAAACACTGACAATTTTGCGTAATTTTTTTAACATTTTATTTCTTGCTTCAAGGAAGAGGTTGTGTTCCGTCGTCATAATGTATGTGTGCGAATGTGTATGTGTCAGTAGGCCCACGCAAAGGCGACTAGGCGGCGCCACCTTACGGGCTTGATTCCCATGATTTGTTACCGGCGAGCGAGAGAGCGCTCGAAAACGAACAGTCAGTCAAGAGCAAGCAGTGATCGCGTGCGCAGCTCTCATCTTCACCTCGCGAACGGAGTCTTTGTTCGTCGTGTCCGTTGGTTTTCTGTTTCAGGTGAGCAACAACGACAACAAGAGTCAACAACTATAGTAACAGCAACAACTTACAATGGATTATTAAACGATTAAACAAACGAGAAGCTCACTCTTCTCAACTGGCGAGAAGCCCATGTTTCTCAACTAATTAACAAATTATTGTTATTGGTCTCCACATCGCCAATAGAACTTGTTCGGCTTCACCGAGTCGAACATCATCTTGATCATCGTCACTTTAATCGTAAATCAATCGTGTGTGAAAGTGTGTGTGTAAGAGCTCTCGGTGCGTGCACGGCCACGTGGCCGGTGAATTTCTCTTCGCGCATTCTTTCTCTTTGTTCTAACAAATACCGGCGTGCGTACAAGTCACTTAGTGCGGCGTTACTCGTTATTCAATCTCCTTACGTCATCCAATCTTTGTATCAATCTTTTCAGCATCAGTGCATTTTCAAATAAAAGTGGTTTTTTATGCCTTGCAGGCTTTTTCCCTAAATAGTGTCTTATTTCTTTGTCTTTCGAATAAACAATTTCATAATTAAACTTAAACCAAAAAAATCGTGAAAAATTCCAACAGTAAAAAACAATTGACTAAATACCATCTAAGGTATTTGGATATTATCATAACATAAAACAGGTTGCATTGCCAAAAAATGTGTTCGATAGTATCTTGTTCTTCTCCGCATTTACATATATCACTCTTAACAATGTTAAATCTATATAATTAATAATTCAAACTTATATGTCCGCTTCTAATCCTATTAATTGTAGTAATTGTTTTTCTAGGTAAGTCAGGGAATTTAGAAAACCATGATTTGGAATCCTCTCTATAATAATACTTAAAATAAAATATACCTTTCGTATCGCTAAGTTTTAATAGGTTAATGTTAGATTCTGAGGTACAATCATATTTAAATTTGCCGTACAGATCGGAGTGAGGTAATTCGATATTCAACCAAGTGCCATCTTGGGCCGCTTGTCTAGCGCTTACATCTGCTTCTTCGTTTCCATGAATGCCTCTATGTGAGGGAATCCAAATTAATTTAATTTTTTTGTCTAGTTTCCTGCATTGAAGTAATTTAGATTTTAATTTAAATACAAGTGGTGAAGTAACGCCTGTGTTGTGTGTATTTTTCAAAGCTTTCAAAACACTTTGGGAGTCGGAGAAAATTCGGAAGTTTTTATTTTCATTAGTAATAATGTTTTTAACCTTTTAAGGACGGGACTGGTCGATATATCGACCACCAATTTTGTCAGGCACTCCACGTGATATATTCTTTCATTTTATGCACAAATATTGTGCAAAAAAAAGTCAAATTTTAACGTAAAAATCCCCGTCCTTAAAAGGTTAATGGAATAATTCAATGCTAAGGCCTCAGCGGTAAAGATAGATGATAGATTTGGTATTTTGAATGAAAAATTAAAGGCGTCTTCATGAGACCAAGAAGCAAATCCAACTGAGCAACTGTCGTCTGTGGAAATTTTAGACCCATCGGTAAAAATATCAATTTGGTTTTCTCCATAGGATAAGTAGAATTAAACATTGAAGACGGATTTTCTGACTTTGAAATTTTGGACCCGGACTCAAGGTCAACGTCCACTATTTCAAGAAAGCTATCGTATGGTTGGGTGAATTTGAAGAATAAGTTAGAATTGATAATTAAATCAGAGTAGAATTTTACATCCTCGTATATTTTAATTAATAGGGATTTATTGTAATTGAAATCAAGTTGGAAGTCTTCAGTTAGTTTAAGGATTCTCTCTGCGTTAATAATTGTACGATTATTGTTGATAGACAAGCATTTAATTAGATATTTATAACCTAGGAATTTAAATCTCGATGAGAGGTAGGGTAATTTTGATTCGGCTGTGATTATATTAAGAGGAGTGCTCCGTTGGTAGCCAAGGGCAATCCTTAAGGCATAGTTTTGTAATTTTTGAATTTTAACAAATGAAGATTCAGCACATGGAGATATCAAATAGCCACAATATTCAATTCTAGATCTTACCAGAGTCTGATACAATAGGGTTAATGTACATGGATCAGCACCCCACCAAGTTCTTCGTAAGCAACTAATGATGCGTGTAGAAAAGATCCTTTTTTTAGTTAAATAAGAAATATGTTTCTGCCAATTTAACCTTTGGTCTAAAATCATGCCAAGAAATTTGACTTCCGGTGACGGGCGTATCGATTCACCGTCTAGTTGTAGTTGGATATTTTTTAAATTTATGTTATTTTTGTTGAATATAACTAGTTCGCACTTATGAAGAGCCAGTTGAAGGCCTCTATTTTTAAGAAAGTCTAGGACAGATTTGAGATTAAGTTTTATTTTATTAATATCTAAAGTTACATTAGTGCAATGTTTAAAAAGAACAATATCGTCAGCAAATTCAAGAATTCCAATATCTATATCTAAAATAGATTTAATTAACCTAGTATAAATGGTATATAAAACTGGGCTTAATACGCTACCTTGAGGTAAGCCTTTGTTTACATGGTAGTGTTTATCATCTCCCAAGTTAAGGGGTAGAAGAGTGAGTTCGAAAATTAAATTTTTTATGAAAATAACGAATCTTTTAGGGAGGCCAATTGTAATGAGGTCGTTGATGAGGATGTCGGGAACGACATTGTTAAATGCCCCTTTAATGTCAAGGAATAGAGCCGCAAGGCTCTCTTTTTTATAAAAAGCTTCATGGACTTCGGAGACCAAAATTGACAAATTGTCAGCACATGATTTTCCCTTACGAAAACCATATTAAGATTCAGAATATAAGTTATTATTTTCTAGCCAGAAGGTTAGACGTGTGTTGATCATTCTTTCAAACGTCTTCAGAATACACGAGGCCATTGAAACAGGTCGAACTTTATCACTATTGTTTTTAGGTATAAAGGTGATTAAATATTGAGTCCATTCGTCTGGGAAAGTACCTTGGCAATAGAAGTCATTATATAAGTCAAGTAATAATCTTTTATAAAATTCTGGGAGGTTTTTTAGGAGTTCATAGCTGATTTTATCTGAACCTGAAGCGGATTTAATATTGATTGAATTAAGGGCTGAATCCAACTCTTCAAAGGAGAAAAGTTGGTCCATGAAATGGTTAGTGTTGTCATTAAGGTATTTTGATTCGATAAATTCGGAAATATTATTAGCGGGGCAAAGATTAATGTCCTTTGGTACACATAATTCGACTAAGCATTCTGAGGCATTGAGAAGTGTTGAAAGATTTCCGTTTAAAGATATAGGTCTATCCATATCGTTTTTGAAAGCTTTGATTTTTTTCCATATATCGGAAATCTTAGTATTGCGGTTAATTGGTGAGCAGAAATTTTGAAAAGAGTTTTTTTTTTCTTCTCTAAGAGTTTTAATGGTTAACGCTTCCAACTGTTTGTGTTTAATAAAAGAGTCTAGGTTACAGCGGTATTGAATTGATCTAAAAGATGCATTTCTTCTTCTATCTATTCTATCACAGTTTTCATTCCACCAAATGGCGTTTCTCTTTTTCTTTTTATTATTTTTAAAATTTTTGCTATTCATATTTATCATTTTCTTTTTTCTTGTATCAGAATCATTTAAGGCAGTGTAAATAAATTTCAAAAGCGTTTTGTACCTTTCCGTAACCGGAGAGTTAATAAAAGGGATATTATTAAATATAGATTTCTCTTGGTCAAGTATTTTGAAGAAAGTTTCAAAATTGATTTTTTTAAGGTTAATGCGATAATCATTTCTTTGAGTTTCTTTATTCAAGATAGTAACGATGGAGAAGTGGTCACTACCCCATGTATCTGGTAAAATCGACCAATTTGTTGAAAAGGCCAAATTAATTGAAACAAATGTTAAGTCTATATTAGAGTAGGAATGCCCTGAATCTGAAATTTTAATGTGAGTTGGTTTTTTGTCATTTAAGAGAAAAAAATCGTCAAAGTTGGTAAAGTCAAAAATAGTATTCCCACTCGAGCAGTATGAATCACTTCCCCATAATGGGTGATGTGAATTAAAGTCGCCTACTACAATAAAGTAGTTGTAATTATTTATTTCGTTCGGAAATGACAACCATTCATCTTTTTTAATGATATTGTTTCCCGAGGGGGATCTATAACTAGAGGCAATCAGTAAATCGCCCAAATGACAGTTGACAACAATAGCGCCTGTTTCTAGGCTATTTGAGTTAAAGTTAAGAGCAACTTTTTGATATGTAATACCTTTTCTAATAAAAAAGATTATACCACCTCCTTTATCTGTTATTCTATCAAAACGCAACGTGTTAAAATTATTAATAGTAAATTTTTTTTCCGGTTTCAACCAAGATTCACAAATTGTTATGATATCATAATCTGCTGCATATTTGTATAAAGCTAGCTTATTATTAATGCATCTACTATTCCATTGTAAAATATTTAAATTTTGAAAATCCATTATTAAGAATTGAAATTATTGAAACAATAAATGTTAAAGATAGTTTTAGTAAGTATCTATATAAAAGCAGATTTACTATTTTTTACGGTTAGTATACGACTTACGTGTAGAGTTACTTTGATTAGAAATAGACGATCTAGACGTTAATTTATTAATTGTAGATTGAAGTGACGAATTTGATGACTTCATCTTGGGCGAGTTCTGTTGTAGCTTCTGCGGCTGTGGGGATGACGACGAAGGTGTCTTTGGTGACAGCGATGTGCACGGCGTTAGCTCTTTCTTATTTGACTCGGTAGATTCTGAAATGACATTGTAGAATGAATTGAATGAATTTGAAGTATTTGGAGAGTTTCTTCCACCAAAATGTTTTGAATTGGTTATTTGAGATGTAGTGTTATTACAAGAGTCTTGAAAATCAAGCGAGCAGATCTGTGATTGAGTGTCTTCAATGTGCAACGTGTGATGTAATACTACTTCTGTTATATTTTTACTATTAACTGGACTTTGTTCTTTAACAATATTGTTGAGCGTATCTTGATGTCTGCTTCTAATATTTGGGTAATGCTCTTTGGATCTAGGAGGGATTTGAATAAGAGGTGTAATAATCTTGCTTGCTTCTGAAAATGAAATATTATCATGTGCCATTAGAACATTGATTCTTAAATATTTCTGATAGACAGGGCAGGTAGAATCTATGCTTTTGTGAGGCCCGCTACAATTGGAGCACGACGGAATATCTTTGGGGCATCTGCCATTATCAGTGTCAGTTTCGTGTTCTTCAAGACCATACATTATACAGCGTTTCGTACCTTTGCAAGTATTTGCAACATGTCCGAATTTCAAACAGTTATAGTATTGTCTTGGTTTTTGTATGTAAGGCTCAACATAAGCTTTTACGTAGTATAGAACTATATCTTTTGGCAAGATTTGACCAGAGAAGGTCACCACAATAGTTTGGGTTTTTATCCACTTATCATCAGAGCCACTGGCGTTCCTATTCCTCCTAGATTGTCTTTTCACTTCTGTAATACCGACTGGTGATACAATAGCTTCTTTGATATCTTCTTCCTGTAAATCAAGAGGCACATTTCTAATTACGCCTTTTCTAAATTTTCTATAGCTTGGTATAAATGTTTCCATATTGTGAGCTTCAAGAGATTTATCCGTGAGTATTTTATTAGCCTCTTCCCTTTTTGAAAAGAGGATTTCAACTTTAAATCTACCTCTGTTTTTAATGTCAATAATATTTTTATATTTTTTAAAAATAACGCTGCCAACTTTGAAAGCACTTAGACCTTCTTTGCTTTCGATTTTCCTCTTTATCCATACTCCAAAAGGGCCTTGATTGTCTGGTTTGAAGAATTCAGATGCTTTGTCTGATTTTGTAGTGATGTCATCTTGGTTAGCTGTATATGATCTCGTGGCGGGAATCTTATTCTTCATGGTTGGGTCGTCAGTGTAATCTGATCCTCCCCTGGACCTTTTTCTGTTCTTTGAGTCTTCAAATTCCATGGGCTCAGATAAATTTTTTCTATCTTCATTCATTTCTTAAAACTCAAGCCGCCCGAAGTCGGAGGATGATAAATGAATTTCGCTCAGAAGAGGTTATGAAACGGCCGGGAGGACCCGGCGTTTATATCAAGTTGAAAAAAAGAGAAAAAACGTAGAAACTTAGGTTGTATGAGTTAATAAAATCAAACTATTTCTCAGGGAATACACAGCAATAACTTACGCCTATGCATTAGTTAAAAATGAAAGTTTAATGAGGTACTCGATCCACACCGCGTGTCCGAAAAAATACGAAAGTACGGAAGCCGATCGCAAATTATTCCTACGCCCCACATGTCGCCATCTAACGTGTGCATAACTACTCACCGTCAAGATTGAACAAGCGCCACGAGTATGAGTTACGCCGTAACAGGTTTCGTTCGAATTTTCATTCCAACGAATAAAACCTTCGAAGAGCCTGAGCTTTGAATTCTCCAAGTTAAAATTTGCTATCTCGGAAGGGGAGACGAACGATGTAACGACCAGTAGGATCACGTGTGGTATGAGCAACGTAATGTTGTTCGCAAGCAACTTCGTCACGAGATTTAACAGGTTCGTGATCGAAATCCTCGATATACCAGAAACGTTCGATGAGCTTGTCCAATTTGATGACATTGCAGGTCGTTGAGTCTGGGATAGACAGATCCGATGATCCCCCCGCTACAATCCATCCGAGACTAGTCTTCTGCAAGACGATCTCGGACCCACCGTATCGGAGTCTCACCTGACCTACCGCTAATGCAGACAAAGTGACCGAGGATGACAAAAGAATATCGATAGACCCTGGAAGATGGAGTTGAGGATCAGCAAGTTTGAGATTCGTAGGGATATCGAAAACTTCACGAGGGAAAACGTCATTGGGTACTGAATAAGCTATATTCGGAACGATTAAGATGCTAAGATCCAATCGGGAATTGTTATGTTTGGACCGGATTTCGGCCTTTACATATTTATGAGAAACGGCGCACAAACCAGCGACAGCTCCAATATTAATAGAACAAGAAGACGTGGATAAAGCTAACTGTTTAGTAAACTGTTCAGTGACTAAATTTACGGTGGAACAGGAATCTAGAAGAGCTCGAGCGGGAATGAACTCTCCTTGACGATTTCGAACCTGGACCACTGCGGTGGTTAATAATTGGCTATCTGGGGTGAACGCTACGGACGCATACGACCTATGAACTAGTTATTTGGGAGGATTATTTGAGGGAGAAGAAGTTGCAGCCCCTACGACCTTAGAAGTAGGCCTCTTTTTAGGGGGCGCTCGCCTATTATCATGAAGGAGGGAATGGTGATTTTTATTGCACACAGTGCAACGTTTATCACTGTTACAAGGAAATGGATGACTCCAAAGACAATTAAAGCACAGCTTATTCGTTTTTGCAAACGTCCGCCGTTCCTGAGTCTCCAGACTGGGGCATTTGAAAAGCCAATGACTGCCCTTACATTTAGGACACAAGAGAGGAATCGAATTCGAAGATGAGGCTGATTGAGAGTTAGTGACTTCAACGTCAATGGTGGTGACCTCACATTAGCCTTAGAAGTTTTGGATTGATGTTGAGAACCGAAATCCGTTGGGCGCTTCCGCGGGTTACACGACCAGCTATTGGATTCATTCAACGCTTCCAGTTTGAAAACGTAGTTTTGAATGAATTTGAAAAGAGACTCTACCGTCGGAAGTCGATCAACATCGAGTTTATCGTTCCATCGACTATAAACATAGGACGAAAGACAACGCTCAATGATTCTTACGACTAACTCATCGCTGGATTTCGCATCGATATGCTTGAGGATATGTAAATGCTGACGTGTTGTGTCAAGTAAGGACGAAAGGGTTTGTTCGCCCGATTTTGTACCCACCCGTTTGAAATCGAGAAGCGCGTTCAAATGGCGATTTGCGACAATTCGTTTTTGATCGTAAGATTCGAGAAGTGCCTTCCACGCGTTTTAGTAATCGGCCGCGCAGGGGTCATATTCTCCAACCTTAGAAAGGGCGCTCCCGGATAAGTGACAAAACAACTGACTGGCCTTAACATCATCGCCAAGATCAGTTCGATTGTGCACAAGGGTCAAGAATTGGTTTTTGAACGTGGCCCATCCAGCCCTGTCCCCGTCAAAGGTAGGTAATTGAATCTCCGGCAATCTGGGTCTATCGGCCCGTTCAGTGACCGTGATGTTACCTAGATGGCTGGTATTCAGGGTAGAATGAGAAGTCGGTAGGGGAAGGTGCGATTGCACGTATCGGACCGTTACTGTCGCTGCGATGTCGTAATAGTCGTCGGTCAGTCGTTCAAATGCGATCACTAACTCGTGTTCCTGACAAATACCACAAAGTTCCTCGTTTAGTTCGATGTACTCATGGTAAATGTTGGTCACGGACGCTAAACGCAAGTTCGCATTTGTTGAATTGGGATTGCTAATCAAATAGTTTTTCAAATTTCCCACCCAACGCTGCAACGTCTTGAATTTCGTCACGATGTATTCTATCTACGTCTTCTGTTCGGATCCCGCCATTTCTTTGGATCGATCGAACAACCTTATCGAGGGACCTAAAATCTCGATGGATTGTGGAAAACGCCTGACTAGGAATGGGTCCTGACACCAGAGGAGAAGATCGTACGAATGCGATTGAGAATCTTCACAGATAAATCAAGAAATTGACAACAAAACTACGAGCAAGTAGGGGATTGATGAAACAATCTAACAACAAGAGAAAGAACAATGATAGATTAAAGAAATGGATGTAAAACGTAAGCAGAAAGAATGAATAAGTGAACCGACGGTCCAAATGAAATGTCAGAGAAACACTAAACTGAAAAAACAGACTAATAACAAGAACCTAAAAATAAATAAACGAAATAAGATAAAACAATGAACGAAGATAGCTATTGAAAAGAAATAAAAGGAATAGACTCAATAAAATAGACAAAAAAGGAAATCATCAACCGACCGAAAGGCTAAGAAACAAAGGAAAAAAAAATAAAAAGGGTATCAAAGAGACAAATTAAATACACGGCAGATGAAAGAAGCTGAATCAAATTGAAAGGAAAGAGAACGCGAATAAATAAATCAAACAAGGAAGTAAGTTGCAGAAATTGAATAAATAAAAATTGAATATAGAAAACAGAAATTAAATCGTTGGAAGTCGAAGAACTAGATAAAATAAGAAATAAGTAAATGACACTGAATAAAAAATAAATTAAACAAAAAGCAGAACTGAATAAAAATACAAAGTTAAATAAAGAACAAGAGAAATTAAATGAATGAAAATCGAATAAATAAATAAAATTAAAAAAAAACGAATAAATGACACTAAATAAAATATATTAAATAAAAAACAAAACTGAATAAAAAAAAATAAAAAATAAAAAATTGAGGAAATAACAAACGGTAATTAAATAAATAAAAATCGAATGAATAAATGAAATAACTAAAAGAAGTTGAACGAATATATGAAAGAAAGAACACTTATCTGAATCGAAGACTTGCGCAGCTAACTGGGTGGTGAGGCTTTCTGGAACGGGAGTGACGATTGATGTTGAGGAATTCTGCCAAGGGCGACGCTGATCAACACAGCCGTCGCGTATATGACGCAAAGTTCAAATATTCCGATGGAATTCTCCGGTATTCTCGGAACGCACACGCACAATGACACGCAGTCGCTCGCACACGTGGTTTTCACTCGCGCACTGAACTACGTTGAGGTTGTGAAAAAACCTCGCAGGAGGGACCATGAATTGAAGCGTTGAATTTCTCGCAATTACCCTAGGTGGTAATTGCGCCCACTTTTGTTGAATTTTTGTTTTTGTTTGATAGATTACGCTAATTAAGAAGAGGTTTGAATGTTTGGGGAATTAAGGAATGGAATTAGAAATGATTTGGAAATAACTTGATACTTTCACTTATAGGAAAAAGCCTCGAAGGCATAAAAAACCCATTTTATTGACGGAACGAACAATGAGATTAAGAACGAGAATACAAAGAACAAGAAACGATTAACCACGTGTACGCGAGCCGCGCGCGAACAATAGAAACTTCGACGCTATGGGAATTCCTGCACTCACACTCTCACACACGGATTTGGTAGCACCTTATTGGCTTTTCAGCCACCCAATACGCCTACGCAGCCCGCAGGCGTTATTGTAGGACGCGATCTTTTTCCTTTTCGTTGTAAAGCGGTTCACTTTTTCTTACCGTTGGTAAGTCTCTTACCACTTACTGCTTACTCGTGTATTTCTCAACAACGATTGACTGCTCGCTGTCCCCCTCTCCGCCGGCAAACGAGAAACCGGAAGCCTCAAGCTCACCCGGAAAGGCAGCGCCATCATGAGCCTCGCTTGCATAACCATACGCGTACTCACACGCATACACGCACATGTAACGTCGCAACGGAACAGAAGCGCTCCACCAACTTTACTGGGAATAGGTAAAATACGTGGTATATTTATTTTACTTGGAGGTTAGATTTCGCTCGAGGGGAGTGTGGACGTGTCTTGGATGTGAGCGCGGGTTTTGGTGAGAAAGTTAAAGAGGAAAAGTGTTTGAGGAGAGAAATAGAGGTGAAAAGAGCGTGGAGGCGGAGGAGGAGTGGAGAAGAGAGAGAGAGAGAGAGGCCTGGAGAAGAGCAGGAAAAAGCAGAGAGAGGAATAAAGAAAAAAAAATAAAAGTTGAGGTTAAGAGAGAAAATCAGAAAGCAGGAAAGGCAGGCAGAGAGGAGGGGCAGTAAGAAGTAAAGGCAGAGACAGAAAAGGTAAGACAGGGAATAACGGTGGGATCACGGGTGGATATAGAGAGTCGAATTAAGGCGTACGAGATAGGATGGAAAGATTTGTAACAACAAAAAAATTAAGAAAGAAAGATGGAAGAATGGATAAGAAAGGCCCAGAGGAGGAAAAGAAGAAAAGAGTAAACGTGGTGAGGGGGAGAGAGAGCGGGGAGGGGCTGAGGGAGAATTATTGAGGTAGTTTATTCAAATAGTGTTAATAGTTTGTTTGCTT